GCACAAACACTTGTAAGGGAAAAAATAACGACTGACTGTTTCTTCATTATGAAGATAGACGAGAAAAACCTCGCCAAAAAATCATATTTTTACGAATATCGCGTTGTTTGGACGGAGAAGGAACAGAGGGGCAAAACACAGAGCTGCAAATATTGGCCAACTGGCGAAGTTAATTGTTATGCTCCGTGCCAAGCATGAAGCAGGGTTGTCAAAAGCTGTGACACACCTGGGAAAGAATTTTGTAGAATGTTCTGGTACATTCTTGGCGCCATCGTGAGATCAAATAGATCGCCTTGCATTTGATGCATGCCGAAACGTGGGAAAACGGACTTGAGGTCTCTCCTGCTCAATCCAACAAAAGGGTTTGCTGACTGGACATAAATCTTGCTGTCAGTGAAGCAACAATAGGAGGAATCTTCTTTTAAAGGAAGAACATAAATACAGAGAAAGAGTACAAAAAATATATAATTGAGGCTTAAATATTAAAGATTACATGAAATTATTGCAAGGAATTATTGAATAATGACAAATAAATAACATTAATTACAAGTGTAAAAAGAAGAAATTAAAAACCATGCAGTTAAATAAAATCTGCATATTACCATTAAGCTGTCACATAAATAACATTATGTCAGTTGTATTACACCAAAAGTTTATCATAAATTTAACAGTTACAATTTTAACTTACGTAATTATTTAAGCTAATTTATTACATTATTATAATGAATTAACAAATGATTTTAGTTAATATGTAATATACCATACTACAGTTAGGGACATAAGGTCTAACCGGGCAGTTGTGCCAAGCCATTTTGATTGAAGATGGTAGCTTTGGTATAGTGAAAGTAAGAATAAGGTGTTTCGTAGGGGTGAGTTTTTCATCCCTGCGAATCCTTATTCTACGGACAGCAGTGACATTTTGATCTTTCAATTTTTCTGTGAGCATTTCCTCCGAATCATTTATGAACTCCGTCTCTGATGTTGCACCTCGACAGGTGTTGAGTGATTTATGAGGTGTAACATCGACTGCAAATGAGCACATAGTAGTACAAGTTTCTAACAAGGTGGCTTGCTATTGCGATACAATTTGTATCAACAGGTCACTGGAACGTAGTTTTTTCACAGAGGCTACCTCTCCTAAAACGGAGATTAGGGCCTTGTGAATCAAGAAGGGAGAGACTTTAGTAAATGAAATATTTGGTACTTCGGGATTCGTCAATTTAGTTATATAGTATCGAGCGTAATCACATGGTAAACGGGTTGTTCCGTTGTTTTTGCTATGGTGTGCGGAACTGAACACCTTACTATTTTCAGCCGTAGAAAATATTAAAAGTTTCAACTATCAGCGGCATCACCCATCACGGAGTCCAACTTAGGGGATGCAAATAACAGATAGGTACTGAGACCAATCCGTTACTTGAACATCGATGCTAACTAATAGCAATACGTCCGTGAGTCACCCCTGAAGCAGCCTCCACCCTTAATGAGGTGCCCAGTAAGTGACCCCAGACTTGACCAGCCAATTGATACACACAGGCCAATATGCACCTCCCGTTTACCTGAAGCACGGGCCAAAGCAGTGTATTGGGGTACCAGGATGCCCCTCAACTGCCAGGATCCCCTTTTCCAGGGACACGGGTCTCCACGCACGGTGAACAAGTGGATGGTCTCTTCCCATCTGGGTCCGACACAACAGATTGGTAATCGAGCACAGACAAAAAGCCCTTACCAGTGAATTCGGCAACCACGACAAGGGAGAGGAAGCGGAGGAGAGGACAGATCACTAGGGTGCACCGGGGCGTGACTCCCTGTGTTTACCTAAAGAAGGTAAACCCCCTGAGGGCGAAATCAATGATCTAAAAGTAACAAAAACTTTATCGCGCAAAAGTCATTGTATACTTTCAAAGAAATCCCCGCCTATTAGTAAATATTATAATTTTTTTAATTAGAAATATTAAGTAGAGTTTCCTTTCATATCTGCGATAGGTTTTATAAATTTGTAAATAAATCTACAAACTTATTCTGTTGTGGGAAATTCGAGCAGAATATTTTTTACCACATTTTACAAAAACTGAGAAAAAAAAGAAGTATTACGGTGAAGCAAAAATTAAAATATAATTTTGCAATCACAAGTTTGATACTAAATTGCAAATACAGTGAACTCTCACTTATGCACCGGTGTGAATAAATATGTTTCTAAAGATTAAGTGTCAATATTTATACTGTTAAAGATTAAATTTTAATATTTAAACTGTTATAATGTTAATATTTATACTGTATACTATAATTATACAAAGAAAAAATTCAACATACCTAAAGACAAATTATTTTCTTACAAAATAATCCTTAATACATGTTTGTATTTGTTTTTACCGACGTATTTCAAAAACAGTTTTTTCCAGTTCATTTAAATGGGATAAATTGTAAATAGTCACGAATAGTGTCTAATGCTTCTAATACTGCTGTGTGATTTGGAGGAGCTTTATCATCCTCGTCAGTATCATCCTTCACGTTCTCATCCTCCATTTCATTAGCGATGTCATCAATGTCTCTTAATTCCGTTGTTAATAGATTATCATCAAAGGCAATAAATTAATTAAAAGAAACAAGTTCGTTTGATACATTCTTTCCATTCGTTTTCACTAAGATCGATATCCCAATCTTCTTCAATTTCGTTAACTTGATCTATAAATTCATTTTCATCTGAAAATAGAAATCCAGCTTTTTTGAAGCAATTCCTTATGCTGGATTGTCCAATTGTTCCTTATGCATACCATATCCATGGCATCAAGAATTGAAATCTTTACTTCGGCTGCTGCTGATTTGCCTGTTTCCAGTTCTGCTAAATATCGACGAATCAGTGTTTTTCTATAATGCACTTTCAAGGAATGGGTAATGCCTAAATCCAAAGGTTGTAACTTGCACGTGCAGTTTGCATAAAAAAACACTACTTTGATGTGTTCAAAAGTTGGCAAGTCTCGTGGATGGGCTGGACATTGATCCATAAAAAGGATGACTTTTTTTCCCATTTTTTTCTCAAATGCATGAAGAAAAGGTAAAAAAAAAAATTTGAAGTCATCCGTTCTGCTCTATTGCTTGAGTACTCACAGGGAAGTCGCCTTATTTTTTTAAAACAGCGAGGATTTTTCGATTTGCCAATAATAAAAGGGGAATGTTTTTCTGATCCATCTGCATTACAACATAATAAAATGGTTAATCGTTCTTTACTGTTTCTTCCACCGTGGCAGGGTTCCCCCTTAAATGCCAATGTTGTCTTAGGCATCATCCTGAAAAACAAACCAGTTTCATCACAATTAAAAATGTCCTTTGGTTTGTATCCTTTAATTAAAGATTTTAATTCATCTTTCCATTGCTCTACAGTCTTTTCGTCCACGATAAACTGTAGAGTCATCCACTTTCACCAGATATGGTACGAGTTTCTAGGCCATGTCGGATCTTAAATTTCTCCTCCCATCCATGTGAAGCTGAAAAATTTCCAATTTTCAAAGTTTCTGCGAGATGACCTGCTTTTTGCCTAAGTAATTCTATATTTACCGGAATGTTAGAAGCACGAGCCTCTTTAAACCATTGTAATAAAACACTTTCCAGTTCTTGAAACTTTCCACTTTGAATACGACTTCTCTTCTAGAAATTAATTCCACATTCCCGTTGAGCAGCAACAATTGCATCCTTTTTTTTTTTTTTTGAAATCCCTTTTAAAGTTGATTCAGGAATTTTAAAATGATCAGCTAAAGCTTTTTTAGTCGTTGATGAATTTTCTTCAAATCTCTTAATGATATCCGCTTTAAAAAATAAGCTCAATTTCGTTCTCTTTGCCATTTCGTTAACAGACAAATCATAAATGCTACATTCTGTTTTTGCCATTCCATTTACTAGGCACACTTTGAGCAAAAACAACTTAAAGTAACACATTAAAAAATTGCCGAATCGTCAAAATAAATTATTATTTTCAAAAAGATATGTTAAAAAAAAATAACATTTTGATTAAAATATTTCATAATATAGACATTTCTCTTGTATACATCCTACACTTTTTATAAAAAAAGAAACAGACCTGGTCTTGGTATAATATTGGGTATATGATTGAATACTATATTAAGTGATTTGAAAAATAATGTAATTCTGAATATAAACTGTTTCAAAAAGAATACATAAATGAAATGGCAATTAAAATGGAATTAAATTATTAAAAATCTTATTAGTCCCGGGACAAAATTTTATCTTGCCATGGTAAGGGACTCTTTACAAAATGATTTTTAAATGCTTCCCTTATGGCTTTTGCCTCTTTTGAATAAGCATTTGTAGCAATTTGCTTCAAATTTAGGAAACCCTCTCCCTCTTGGGTTTCCTGCGAAGTTAATTCCTCACGCCACTTGCTTTTTTTTTTATTATCCCATCCACTTCTGTGTCTGCATATGCAGAAGGCAAGTAGTGGCGTTGGCAGACAGTTGAATTAACTTCGTTTTGGCAAACAAAATTGTATAAACAAACAACAGCTTTCACTATCTTCTCCACTGTTGATATAGAGGCTACAATTGGCTTTCTTAATATTCGCCAGCGACTACTTGTGATGCCAAAAGTGTTCTCAATGAGCCTTCTTGCTCGGCATAGTCTGTAGTTGAAGGCCTCTTGATCTAGACTCAAATTTTTCCCTGGGTACGGCCTCATTATGTTCTTTTTGAGTGGGAAGGTTTTGAATATAGATAGGTTTGCGATGATAATGAATAAAAATAGTGCAAATAAAAGTAATCGGAAACAGAAGATAAATCCTGCTAATTTTTTTTTTATCTGTGAAAAAAAAAATTATTTCGTGGTCATGCTATTAGACAGGCTTAAGCTTATAAATTTACAAGCAAAAAATTTACTGAGCATTGGAAACTTGAGAAAAGTTGCAAGGAATAAAAAATAAAACTACAATATAATTTTTCAAAAGTGAACTATTTTGAACAGTTTGACAAAAATCTTCGAATATATATAACAATTATGAAACTACTTCTTAACAATTATACTACAATAGTTTCCTATTTTTTAGAAAGATTTTTTTCATTTTGCACTTGTATAATATATTCAGGCTCCCTAATTTTCATTGACCGCGTATGTCGAGGATCAACAAGTTCTGGCAAAATGCAATCGAAATAAAATTGTTGAAGTTTTAATTTCATTTCTTTATTCCAGAACCTGTCATCCTTGAAAATCTTTTCTATCTTTACTCCTTTAGGGGTCCACATTATGTATAAACAATATTTGCGTTTTGTTATATGTAATTGCCCCTGAACTTGAAAATAATGCTTGTGCCTTAAGTTAATTTCCTCTTTATTTGTTTTTTTTATCAATTTTCTAGAAAGTAAATTTTTTTTTACTATAGCTTCTTCAGGGGTCATATCTTTGCACGAACTGGGACACTTGACCTCAAGTATGCCATCGTTATCAATAAGTCCATCTGGTGTAGCCCCTAAATAAAAATCTTCTTCATCTACGAAGAGACTACAGGGTTGAACACGAATGTCCAAATGTTTCTCGATGTGTTCAATTGCATGTTTTTCGTTGAAGCGGCCATACTGCATACTTTTAGTATCCACATTTGAATATAGTAGCGATTTCACTAAATTTCCACACCCTGTGTGAGGCAGCCTGCAACAAACGGTACCGAAGTTGGAAGCAGTGATTCGTTTTCTTCTCTCTTCGACCCATAGAGATGAATCGCGTTGAAGAGTGGTATCCAACTGCAGCCTCTTCCTGGATACTTCATCTAAAGTTAAGGATTTTAACACATAATCTTTCTTTTCTTCATAAATTTGAGAGTTCATATCTGGTTTTTCTGCTTTTTCCCCATAATATTTATCATTTTCTTCCTTTGGTTTATTAAATAATTTCTTTGGCTTTATTTTGCGCCCAGAATTCCTTCTTACTTTCTTTTTTTCCAAACGCTTTAAAACTGAACTTGGGCTAGACTTGTATAACGTCCTATGTAGATTCGATAGTGGTGTTTTAGAATTGTAACTCGAAACAGCAGCATTACACCGACCTTGGTACGAGCCCCTAAGGCAGTAATTAATTCTCTTCCCACCAACAAATTTTGCAACAACCGAGTTGAAATGTTCTGCAGAGTTATTGTTGACATTGTACAATAAACTCTTTGCATTGTCAGATAACATATTAAATGCTTGCATGACTTTAAAAAAAGCTGCCGAACTTTTAATGGTACTATAAATTGTATTCTTTCTTGGTTTCTTGCAAAAGTAATCGGCGTATTTATCATGCTCACCAAGAACGTTCAAGGGGGCATTAAGGATGTCTTCCCTTAATTTTCTCACTTTATCGATTAAACTTGCCTCTTCTTGCCCTCTAAACTTGGTTGCCATTGTAACGGCATTTCTGAACCTTTTTATGTTTGAAATGATCAGTTTTCTGGCAGTAATGTCACCATTTGATCCCGACCTAGCTATGTCTTTAATTTTGTGGCATAAATTCCGCAGCAAATGGTTGCTACACTCAATTTTTTCGACAGTTAGTTCGGGATACGGTCTTGCATCAATGATTTTTTTATAGACATTACTGTCTCCATCTCCTATAACTGTCGAATATTTGGAGTTGTACAACTCGACACTACATTTAAATCCATCGACAATTATATTCGCTTCCATTGCACTTGATGTCCCTGTCCAGTTTAAGAAACATTTATGGTCTGCAGCAAGCTTTCCACGTAATTCTGCCCGTGCACATTTAGCGCAATATTTGTTTCGCACTCCCATGAACAAAACTTTTCTTGTGTAAAAGCCAACAATAGCTGCCTATGGAAGAAAAAAAATCAGAGTTAAGAATGCAATACTTTAATAAGATTCATTTTAAACATTTAATTTTTATGCGTGGTTTATCCGTAAGTTATGTAGCAACAAATGTAGCAGTATGTGGCGTCACATGCTGCCAAGAGCACTATACAGTAAGTTCCCTTATAATTAAAGTAGAAAGAGCCACTGATCCCGGGAGCTTGTATGATAACATGCTTGGCATCAATAGCCGCGACACAATTCGGAAAGTTTGTAACATCCAAAAAGGTGCAGGCCTTTTGCTCCCACGTCTGTTCATTCGGTTTTTTCAAGTAAATAAGAGTCAGGCAACCCCAAATACTTTCGCAAGTTTCATTTATGATTGCAGAAACTGTGGATAAACCAATCCTGTGATTGAAGGCCATGCTCGTCATAGAATCTCCACTTGACAGGTATCTGAAAAATAAAATATTTAAAAAAAAATGTTTTTCTTTCTTTTCGGTATCCACTATTATAACACAAGACAGCAAATGTTACAAGCTGTGGGGGCTATTGAGGACAAACCTGATTACTTATTAAACAGTCATTATTACAACCCGGGTATATCTAAAGCCAAGTTGAAATCTAAGCCTTATTGCAGAATGTATATTGGCAAGGCCGTAGCCAGGATATTTTTTCGGGGGGGGGGATATGGTAAGAAGCAAGGGCAGTTTCAGACATGCAAAGTAGGGGAAAAACATGGTAACAAATATTGTTTATTCTGTTGTTTGCAAAAGTTAAACTAGTAATTAAGAAATATTACATAATAATTATTTTTCAATTAATATTACACAATAATTATAATCAATTTGTAAACAAAGTTGACAAAGACATGCGTCGGGGATTTGAAGAAAATTTTTTAATTCCTTTTTTTAGGACAAACCGGAATATCCCGAAATATGCTTAATAAAGTTAGCCTTTCTTGTTTAGTAGCATTTCTTGTTGCTGTTTTTACGCGTTTAAGAGTAGAAAAAGTTCTTTCTGCAGTTGCTGTGGTGATTGGCAACGTAGCCAATATTGATAACAAGCAATAAATGTTTGGGAAAAAGATACTGTCACATTCTTCCGTATCTGAAAATGAGTGAAAAGTGCCGTATCTGGTTTACTAAGGCTGGGATTCAACTGAAACAGTCTTAAGACACGTCACTCGACGTATGCAACGGTCTTAAGTTCGGGAAGATACGCTTATCGTCTTAAATAGCTATTCAAGTGAAACACTTGCGTCGTATCTTAAATGTACCCAGGCTTAAGATGGGGATTTTGTTATCTGTTACTCCCTACGATCAGCAGTGACGTCAAAATATTTTTGTCCAAACAGATTCTTTTGCACAGTGAATAAACAAGAGAAGAAAGCTACAAGCATATATCGCATCTCGCTTAATAAAGCTTCTTTAAAAGCTCCATGATTAGTTTCCGTTTATTAATGCCTCTTTTAGCAGAATCTTTTGCCCCTCTTTTAGCAGAAATACACTTCAAGGGGAATAATTTTTGGAAGAAAAAAAACCTATCTTTTAACATGATTCAAAGCACTTTATAAGAATGCAATACTTTAATAAGATTCATTTAAAACATTTAATTTTTATGCGTGGTTCGTTCGTAAGTTGGAACAAGTGCTTTTCTCTGATTACAAATCTTTTTCTGCTGATAGCACAAGTTCTTTTCTCTGATCTGACTTTTTGATTATAGCAAAATTTGATGGAAAAAAAATTAATTTTTTTAAAAATAGTTTTAAAATCATAATTATATTTTTTATTTTCCACTTGATTTTACACCTCTAAATGTGATTTAAAACTCTTTCGTAGGTCACAAGCTTTTAACAACTCACGGTCAATCAAAGATATGGTTAATAATCCAAGAAATTAAGGAAACAAAATTTTAGCTGAGCTGCTTCAAAACTTTTACCTTTACTTATCGGGATGCAAATAGAAACTAGCACTTATTTCACAATCGCATTTATAGAGAAGGATGATTTTCGGTATGGTGGCTGTGACGACAGTTATGAACATTTTTGATATTTCTTTCACTATGAGTCAGTATTTTTTTTTAATTATTATATTTATTGTAAATTTATTTTTCATTTTTCTTTCGATGTATCGGATAAAAGAACAAGTAAATTTTACATAAACTCAGTTCATTGAAATTGTTGAAACTTTGCTGAAGTAAAAAGTTACTAGATATGGAATCCTTGTCAATTTTAATTGAAGTGAGATTTTTCTAGCAGATGGAATAGCTTTGGAAAATGAATAATAATGCATTCTATTAAAAGTAAGATTCTTTAGGGAGAAATTTTCTGACGTACTAGTTTTAAAAGAAACAAGATTTTGGCGGAGTGGGGTATGCCACTTTGCAATAAATTAATAAATAATGCATCAGAAAACTCAGCAGTAGTTTCATTAAGTTTTTCCCTAAAGTTCCCCTTTTTGCTGTGGATAAGAAAAATATAATTGATTTTTTTTTATCACACATAAAACGAAAAAAAATAGGGTGCTTCACTCCTGAAGACATTTGTATATGGAGAATAAAAAAGTTTTATTCTATTTTATTTTCATACTTTCGGTTTATGATATTATGATATTAAATATGATATTAAATATTATTATGATATTATTATGATATTATAATGATGGTATTATGATATTAAATATTTAACTTAAAAATTTTTAAATATATATTTAATTTAAAATATATCAGATATATATTTCATTTAAAAGTATTAAATGTAGATTCAGTTAAAAAATTTAAATAAATTACGATTTCAATTAAATTTTTGTTTCAAAAAATTTTGTTCAAATTTTGTTGGCTTCAAAGCGTAAATTAATTTATTGAAAGTGCTTGTAACAATTTAGAATCACATATCTAAACTCCGTACTTGCTTCAGGAAAAAAACAATATCAATTATTCTTCTCCCTTCAAGTTCTTCTGTGCGCAAGAGTTGAGCTGGTTCGATATCATACCCTTCTTCTTGTTCTTCTCTGTGTTGCTGTACATCCTGATGTTGTTCTTGCTGCTGTTGCTCTAGATGATGTTGTTCTTGATGTTCTAGTTGCTGTGGTTCTAACTGCTGCTGTTCAGCTAATTCTGCCAGTTCTTTCGCTTTTCTAAAAGGAAAATATAATTAACATATAATTATATCAATTTTTTTTAATATCAATACATATTTCATTTTTTTTTAAATTAGACATTTTTGTCTCATTTATTTCCTGCTGAAAATTTTATTTTTGGTCACTGCGTGATGTATGCTTAAATATATTTAAACTATTTGCCTTTTTAGTGAACGGAAATATTAACTTACTGTCATGAACTAATCCAATTTGTTATAACAATATATCTGTAATATAAAATGTCATTTTAAAAAATGATTAATAATGAAAATATTTATATGTTCAGTACTAGGCTTTAGCCGAATCATAAAGGGAATGTTTACACGAACACAAGAACAGAATGGCTTTTAGTAGTATTAATGTGAATGAATTCTACTAAAATTTGTGAATGAATACTACAATAATTTCAACTTTCGTAGAACAAAAAACTATTTCATGTCATGAAATAACTGTTGATTATTCGTTAATAAGATGTAAATAATGTTGTGCCAATATTTTTTTCTATTCAATTTCAAATTAAATTAAAAAAATTACACGTAATTTGTTTTACCAGCAATCATTGGGGTATATATATATAAAGCCCAGATTTTGATGCCCGGAGTTTGAAAAATCTCAACTAATGACCTTAAAAAGTACACAAAATGCTCTAAAAATGTAAAAATTGCGCTAAAAATGCTTCTGACATGACTTAAATAAAGTAGAAATATTGAACTAAAATAATGTTTTTCTCCTTAAAATCATTATGAGTCATTTAAAAAAGTATAAAGCAATGCAATATTTTTTCTACGATAATTAAAGTTTGAAAAATATGCTTTATATCCTAAAATAACAGAAAAAAAGGAAATTATATTGTCTCCAAAGCATTTTCATTTTGTATCGAAACTTCAATGTAAATGCCGCAAAAAATAATGAAAAGTGGCAAAAATTAACAAAATACTTTAAAAATGCTTTAAAGTGCAAAATACGCCCCAAAATTCAAAAAAAAAAAATTTCCTATAAATCTAAAGAAATGCCCTATAAATCTAAAAAAATTATCTAAAGGACAAATATTGTTCGAAAAAAAAAATGCAAATGTCATCAAAACCCGAGCCTTATATATAACCCTTCACAGTAGCATGTTATTAGAATTCACGCAGAACTTTCTTCATTAAACTTTCGCATAAAATTATATAGTAGACATAATTTCAGTCAACACAAAAATAAACCTGAGTAAAATGACTTAATTAAAAAAAAAAAAAAAAGAATCAAATGCTTATATTCCTACTATATAACGTTAGCACTGCGCTTTTGTTACATACTATGGAATCTTTGAGTTGACACAATTTATAGAAGAGCAGGAAATAGAATAAGTTATAACTACAACCCACTCTTGTGTCAACTGGCTTTAGTCTTCCCTACTAATATTTACAAGTTAAAACATGAAAATAGTAACACCTTCGTTCGCCCAAATTTTATTCATTTTATTTAATTTCATCATAATAATAATAAAAAAAAATCTTAGGAAATTTACCGATTCAGAAAAGAAATTTTTAACAGAATATAACTTTATAAGATTAAATCTTTACAAGTTTTAAAACAAAAATATGATATGATTTATGATAACTTTATTATACACAAATTTCAAATCGGAATGCGAGGAAATAAGAAAATAATAATATTATAAACGTGAATAAATAATATTTTCAAGAAAATCTAAACGGAATATTTTCTATTTAAATCGGTCTGATAGAAAATGGTAGTGTTAAAATTTAAACATCTTTTTTTTAATCCAAAGGCAAGAAAATAATACTATTGCGATAGAAAGGGTCCATTAAAATAAACGTGTCGAAATTAATAAGCAGTATTTACAGCAGAAAAGCATGAAAAATTTTTAATAGCTACGATGATTTTTGATTGTTGAAAATATAGTGGGTGACAAGAAAATTACGGTATACTTAGCGAAAATTTAGTATTAAT